CCTCGACACCTCTTATCACTTAGAGACTTCCATAGATGAACAATCTTTGACATCAAGCTTGCCACTTCAAGCGCCAAAATTCCAACTTGAAGCTTTTTGGGTTTACCTTATTGCTTCCTTGCTGGTTTCCGTAGACTACGAACCCATGACTCAGAAACCATGTTTTATCAAACAGATGCTGGAAAGTTATATTATAAAGAAGCAGCCAATCCCACTAGCAACTTAAGAGCCAGAAAAGCTGAAATAATAAAGATAACACAGCTCTTAATAATCAACATATGAATTGGACTAAGGTCCACAACTTAAGAGCCAGAAAAGCTGAAATAATAAAGAAAACAATCTACCTTGTATAGCCTTTTAAGGTTAGTATAAAGAAGATCCAGCATTTCTACCGTCCACAATAATAGCCTGATCTGAAATCTCTTGGAGTTTGCGTTCCTGTTTGCAATTTGCAAATAAAATTAAATACAAGTATACCATAGAAATCACAAGCAGAAAATATTTTGTGTGTTTGTGTGTTTCTACCTACATACACTATATCCAATTTAGACCGCAGATCTTTCTCAAATTCCTTCAAAATCTTCGTTTTCCCAGAACATTCGTTGCAGGAGCACACCTTGGAGAAATCATGCTCTATTCATTTTCAGAAACATGCTATTTATTGAGATCTAGACTAAGCCCTCCAAAGCCTTCTACTTCACAACTCGACAACCCTCCATCCATGCAGACCCCTAAATGATTTAGCATTATAATCTGCATAATTTGACTCAAAGAATATAAAGTATTATTTTAAACAGTGAGAGGATAAATTTAAAACAGCTAGATAATTGAAAGCACTCTAAAGCAAATATAACTACTCATAGCGTGTACTCTAATTTGTGTAAAAAGACACAATCAATGAAACTAATTTGTAGGTGGGAGAATTTCATAAACAACAGTCCAAAAGCCTAGCAACATCACAGCTTCAGGAGGTAAAAACTAAATCATAATAATCAGGACCGCAATAAGGAATCAAATTAAAATCAACAGAAAATGTAAATTGTCAAAACAGAGAAAAGAACTTACAAGAACAAGCGACTTCAGAAGTGGAAAGGCTGAAAGGCCTTCTAAAAAATTGGAGCGCAGTATTTAAAATGGGGGAGGCAGACCTCTTGAGTTTCCCGAGACATCGTTACTGACGATAATGAGTGCCAGAACTGCGTTGGCGTTGGCGAGAATCTGCAGCTGCGTCGGCGAGGAGCTGGCCTTCGACGAGGAGCCTTCGGCGAGGAGCGGCGCCAAGGTCTGCCGGAACCTAGACTGGGAGGGGGGCTGGGTTTGGGAGGGTTTATCTTGCTATTTTTGACTTTTGATCCATTGGATGAGAGGGAAGTTAGATCTGAAATATTAAGAGAAAATGGTCACATAAGGCCTTCTACTATTCTCAAATCGTCACATAATGCCTTCTACTCATAAAAGTGTCACCAACATATATTTACTTTTCAAAAACGACCATATGAGGCATAATGACCGGTTAAAAACCCTCTGATCCTGGTTGCCGCTTACCTGTCACTCATTTTAGCAAATCTTTAATTTTTATTCCACGTCAGCCGCATCGTGTCCGAATACTCAGCATAAGTTAGACATATCTCGACATACCGGGTAAAAGAAAATAAGAGGATCGCTCATCCAATCTGACTGCGACTAGGGTTTTGGAGAAAGATGGATTCCGCGATTGGGGACGATGATTGAGAGTGAGGTCTTTGTTTCGTTGCTTGGGTTGTGACTGGGTTCGTTCATTTGCATTTACAGGTTGCTTTGGGAAAGTAAGTCAGTTTTTATGTTCAATTTCACTGATTTGTTTAAGTCTATTTAAGAATGTTTTTGAAAATTAATTGAAATTTGTATAGTTTAGGTGAAATTGTGAACGTGAAATCTACTAAAGTATCTAAAGAATTCTCATCTCAAGTCCTAAATTTCATTACCCTGTTTTTACCTCTAAGTTATAAAAGGATCATTCAATTCCTATATGTTCTTTCTTGCATGTATGAAGTTTCTTACAAATTTTGGAATTTGTTTTGGAGTCTCTTTGTTTTGTGTTAGCTATTTGAATAGTTACTCTACCAATCTTGAAATAACAATTGTGTAGTTACTCAAAAAATTGCAAGTATGGAGTTTCTTACAAATAACTATTTGAGAAGTTATCTATTTGAGTACTCAATCTGTCAACGTTCTTATTTTTAGAATGTTTTTAGAAGCTGAGTTGAAAATCTACCATGGAGGAAATTTCAAGAGATTACCAAATCTTGCATATGTAAATGGTGATGTTGAGACTATTGTTTTAGATCCAGATAGAATTTCATACCCTCACTTGATGAAGTACATCACAGAGGATATGTATAAAAAAGTGGATTCACTGTCATTTAAATTGCCCGACGAGAGTCTAGACAGATTAAGGCCATTATGCGATGATGCTACTACTCTACAGCTAATTGAGATGGCATTTATTTACGGTGTAGTAGAAGTGTATGTGGAGCACGGGATTGATGAACCTGAACTCGTTGACCACTTAGGGTTGCCTTCATCATTAACTGTGGAGGGAAATGATACTTCATCGAGAGTTGAGGCACAGCATCACAGTGAGTTTGAAGACACGCATGAAGAACAAAAAGACGGTGAGGTAGCACCAAATGGGGAGTGTGAAGAGAATAAAGAAGACATACGATCTCGTGATGATCATGCTTCGTTTGAGGGTGAGGAAGATTTAAACGATGACAACGATGAGCAATTAAAAAAGGCTCAAAATGATTGGGTAAACAATAAGGGTACTCACACTAGTTCAGAGTCCGAGTTTGACGGTGAGGAAGAATGTAGTGAGTATTATGACTCCGAAGACCCCCCTAGTTTGCACTCAGAGTCTGAAAATGAAGAGGGTCATCCGGTGGATTCAAAAGTGAAGAAGAAGTTTAGAGCTCCATCATACAATCGAAATTCAGATTCCAAAGAGCTTGAATTGGAAATGTTGTTTGAAGATGCAAGGGATTTTAAAACTGCTATAATAAACTATGCAGTTCATTTTAAGCGGGATCTTAGATGGGTAAGGAATGGACCCATGAGAGTTGAAGTGGCATGTTCTGTGAATTGCCCTTTTAGATGCACTGCTTCATGGGCAAAGCAGTACCACTGCTTCCAGATAAAGACATGGGTGGGTACACACAGATGCAATGATAAATTCAAGTTGAAGATAGTAAGTCAAGCATGGCTTGAAGAAAAGTACGAGAATAAAATTAGAGAAAACCCATGCATACGCCAAGTTCAATTGCAAAAGGACATACGGAATGACCTGAAAATAAGTGTGAATATTACGAAGGTCAAAAGAGTCATTACGTGGGTAGGGATGCTAATAATGAAATGTACCCTATAGCATGGGCCGTTGTGGAGATCGAAAACACTGATTCGTGGAAGTGGTTTCTAGAGTTGCTGAAAGAAGATCTTGACATCAACAATACATTTCATTGGACTTTGATGAGTGATCAGCAGAAGGTATGGACTAACTTTATAATTTACTAAGTTTTAGGTATAACCGTAAAAGTGAGTTACTGTTTATAGTTTTAAAATGGAATGTATACTCTGTAAGTTTTAGTTTATAGTTACTGTTTATAGTTTTAGGTATAACTTTATCAATGAAATGTATACTCTGTAAGTTTGTACTGTCAATTTAACTGTAATTTTACTATAAAATTAGGTCTGCATTTATATACTATGTGGAAAGCACTCTGTAATTGATTACTCATCTTTACAAATTGTTTGCAGGGCTTAGTGAAGGTCATAAAGGAAGTCTTTCCAAATTCTGAGCATAGAAATTGTTGTAGGCATATACATGCAAATTGGAGTAAGAAGCACATGGGAAAAGTGCTGAAAAAACATTTTTGGTTTTGTGCGAGAAGCACAACTCAAGCTCATTTTGAAGAACAAATGAAAGCGTTGTTGAAAGTTGATGCTACAGCAAAGTGTGATTTGGAACTCTATGACCCTCATCAGTGGTGCAAAGCGTATTTCAGAACTGAAGTCAAATGTGATATCCTAGACAACAACCTGTCTGAAGCTTTTAATAACACAATCAGAAAAGCTAGGTGCAAGCCAATAATTCCTATGTTAGAAGACATTCGAACTGCCACAATGAAGCGGATTGCTAAAAAGGTGAAGTTTGTGAGCGGATGGGCTTCCAGGCATGGACCTAGAATATTGAAAAAGTTAAATGCCAACAGATATCAAAGCATGGGCTGGAAGGTTAGTGTGTGAATTCAGTTGGTGTATCATATATATTTAATATGTTATTAATGGATGATGTTTCATAACAGGTCATTTTTAATGGTATTGATGGGTATGAGGTTAAACGTGGGAGCACCTGCAAAGACAACAAGGACCGTCAAAGAAGCATCTGCCAATCTGAAAAAGAAAAGAAGAACTGAAACTAAAGCACCAAAGACCCCACCTGATGTAGGACCCTCTAGTGCAGCCCTTTAGTTGTGTTTAGTAGTAATATATGTCATAGGACATTAATGTACTTGTTTTTGTCAGGCAATGACTCTGCCTTTTCTGATTTTTGCTATGTTAGTGGTGCACTTGTGTTTGTTATTTTCTGTCTAAGAATTTGTACTCTGCACAATGCGTAATGGTCACTGATTTCAGTCCAAACATGTTAATCTAAAACTCATTTTGGCATTAACATTATACTTGCATTTCAAAAGCAGGAGAATGTGTCCCCAAATGAGGCCATTACATCTTGGCCTTACATTCTGCACATAAACATGTGTTGAGCAGTAATACCAGATGAGAACATGATTCTGGAGCCATGATATTTATGGCTGATCCTGGTTATGTTTCTTAGAACTTGTGATTTTGTAAAACTGACTGCAATATTTACTCTAGATAGCAACACATAAGCAACTACCTCTGAAATCATAACATATATATGTACACATAAGCAATTGGCTGCAATATTTACATGATTCCCTTAAGGCACATATCATATACATGTATGTAAAGAAATCATAACAAAAAAGTTAAATATATAACCCTTGACTTTTAGAAATTCAAATTACAAATTACATTGTTATACAATGTTACTTCATAGCCATTGCAAGAACTACATAAAAATTCTTTACAAATTCTACTTTAATACACAGATCATCATTGCCATTGCTACCACAACAAATACAATTATAATTGTAATCAACATTATACAATTCCTCCTTTCTTGAATTTCGGATTGCAGTGCAGCTCGTAACTCACTCACTTCATGACGAACACTCATATTTTCATCTCTTAACTGATAAAGTAGCTTTCTGCCCTCCTCCCAGCTCAACTCTGAACTTTCCCATTTAGCATTACTCTCTTCTTTCCAAGCAAAGAACTTGCATCCTCCTCCTTGTGTCTATGTATAAAATTAAAAAATCAGTACAATGCTTCGTAGATCATCCCCCAAATAGGAAATGTTCAGAAAACAACCAGTTCCCACAAAAATCTGCCAAATGAAATACCCCTAAGATTAGACTTTTAGAAAATATTTATTTTCAAGATAAATCCTCCAAAACGAAAAACACTTTCATACAACTGGTTCACAATAACTTACTTTCCATCGTTGACACCCATAGAACTTCCGGCCACTTTCCCTTCCCACACACAAAGGTGCTTTTAATCCACAATTACAATACACAGCAGGTTCGTAGTAGAGGTTTGAACCCATCCTTGAATTCGAGGTGAACGAACTTGAAGACATTTCGATCCTGGAGAACTTGAGCAGAGCTTAGCAATGAACCATAGCTTTTTCTGGGAGACCAACGTTTGTTGAGAAGAAAGCTTCTGGTCAAAGATTGACGATAAGGGACTGGCGTCTTCTCAAAAGCGTGGGTGGGTGGCCTTTTAAAATTGACGATAAGGGGCTGACGTGGAATAAAAATTAAAGATTTGCTAAAATGAGTGCCAGGTAAGCGGAAACCGGGATCAGAGGGTTTTTAACCGGTCATTATGCCTCATATGGTCATTTTTTAAAAGTAAATATATGTTGGTGACACTTTTATGAGTAGAAGGCCTTATGTGACGATTTGAGAATAGTAGAAGGCCTTATGTGACCCTTTTCTCAAATATTAAAGGTTTAGGAAAATCGCACTGTGGTCCTTTTAGGGTGAAATGTACATTGTGGGCGAGCATTACATTTCACCCCTCAAATGATCACATTTACAACAATTTGGACAATTAAGGGGTGACAAGTACAACTTTCGAAATACGGGTCTGACATTTCAATATGGCGACTATTTCAGGGACGAAAAGTGCGATTTTCCCTAAAGGTTTATTTGTTGCGGTTCCACCTCTAACCGCAGCAGATAGTAGAGAAGTTAGAGGTGTATTTTAGTAGGAATCAGTGTCAAAATTTTAAAAGTCCATGGATTTTAAAAGTTTAGTGTATTCAATGTGGACTTTTAAAAATCTACAAAAGTCTAGGTGTATTTAATCTAGACTTTTAAAAGTCTATAAAAATATAAGCATATTCAAAGTTCCGTTCATTCTTATGGATTTCTAAAATCATGGATTCTCGTAGACTTTTAACTCATTTTTTGGACATCAATTCTCTTCAATTGTCTCTTCTCCTCACTAAAGATTTCTGTGGACTTTTCTAATATCGGTTCTTCATCCCATCCCACCCCATCCCTCTCCTCCCCCCAACTCTCCTCGTCTTTAACCAAGCCACCCCTTCCTAGGCTTGGACATGGGTCGGTTCAGGCCCGGGCCGGGCCTCCGGGTTATTACAGGTGGCCCGGGACCGGCCCGGGTAGACACCGGGTTCAACTCGGGTCCAGGCCAGGCCTCTTTTTTATTTTTTTTATTTTCCTTTTCCTAATTAACCCCCCTCCCACCCCCAACCCCCAACCACCCCAAATGGCCCAAAATACCCAGCCTAACCCGAAAAGTTAAAAAAAATGAAAAAAAAGTAAAAAACCCGGAACCGGGCCCGAACCGGCCCAGTCGGTTCGGCCTTTGGGTGACCCGAGCCCGCACCGAGAGTCCCCCGGGATGGGCCTACCCGGACCGGTCACTGGCCGGGCCACCGGGCGAGGCCGGTTCAGCACAGTACCGGTCCCGGGCCGGTTCCGAGTCGGGCCACCCGGCCCGAGTCCAAGCCTACCCCTTCCCCTTCGATCTTTCTTCTTCTTCAGCCCAACTCGCCCCACCCTCTCCTTCCATGTTTTTTCTTCTTCAGCTTGCCCCACCCCACCCCCCTTGATTCCCTCTCGATTCGTCAATCCTATATTGGTTCAACTCTAGAAGTTTCTAGAAGAACTTGTATAAGAATCGATAGTATTACATCAGTGCAATTCTGGTACGTCGTCACTTAACCATTAAGAAAAGGGAGAACTATCAAATAAGCCCTTGAACTTTCATAAAAAGTGCAAATAAGCCCTTTTATAGAAGGCTCTTTCCAGACGTCGCCATTTGGGACGGTTTCTGGTGGAATTTTTTGATGAATTTTTTTGAGCATCTTCTTCATTAAGTCTAGTTTATTCAAACTAAATTTCAGCTAAAAATTCAATCTGGAATGCAGTCAAATGAAGTTTTGAAGATAACTGTGCAGTTAGACAACATACTATATTTCAGAAAATCATTTGACTGCTATCTCAGTTGCATTTTTAGCTGAAATTTGGTATGGGTAAACTAGACTTAATGAAGAAGATGCTCAAAAAAATTCATCAAAAAATTTCACCAAAAACTGCCCCAAATGACGACAGCCGGACAAAGCCCCCTGTAAAAGGGCTTATTTGCACTTTTTATGAAAGTTCGAGGGCTTATTTAATATTTTTCCCTTAAGAAAATAAATATTTTAACTATTACTTTCTTTCATCGTTAAATCGCTAACACATAAAAATATAATTTCAAATTAATAAATATATAACCGTAAATAAGTACACAAATTTTAAAAGTCCACGGATTAAAAAAAGTCCACCACAATCCATATTCAATACACCCCCCTTAAAATATTTGCTATTGTTCACCCGAATCACCCTTACTCGTAGCAAATAAGTAAAAAAAAACAAATTGAAATTCAAATTAATACAAGTATTTGCTGCGGTTCTAACACGATCGAAGCAAAAAGTATTAAATTTTCCAACTATTTTCTGCGGTCGTAGTAGAACCGCCGCAAATACTTATAAATTTTTATTATTTTGTGCGTTTTAACAAAAAACCGCATCAATTAGGTAGCAGCAAATAGCTATTATTCTAGTAGTGATTATCGGTTAACTGATCGGAAGATGTTTCAAAACCGTAACTGTACCCTGAACTAGTTTTTTCTTCCAACGGTTGACTGTACCATGAGTTTTAAAAATTCTGGTATGGTTAACCATAAAAAACACCATTTTTTCGTTTTTAGGTTCAGTTAATCAATATACTTTCTAGATCCCTAAATTGGGATTTAGATGGAGCAAGAAATAGTTCATCTCATTCATTAGCAAAAATTGCGAATTGTTTTGAAAGCCAAATTATGAATTGTGGGGTGTTTGGATCTACTTGATGGATAGTCTACCCAGGGGTATATATCCGAAGGGTTATTACGGGGAATAATTTAGAGAGAAGTCAGAGCAGGTAAACGTAGAGAGAGAGAGTGTATTATAAATGTGGAGTGTTTCCAGCGTGGTTACAAATGGGGAAATGGGGGCTATTTATAGTAGCAATAAATGCCGGGCAAAGACACTTGTCAAGCGCTCATTGGCCGAGGGGTCGCCTCAACTGGTTGGCGCTGGCAGCCGCATGTGGCCGCATTTAATGCGGCTGTTGGATGGGACGTCTGTGCAGAGTACGGTGATCTGTACGCATGTGAGGCGGATATCTTGTCGAGTGAGATGCCTTCGGCCATAGAGCAGTAGCCGAAAGCTCCCCCAACCGAGGGCACCTTGGTGCCGAGGGCTCACAGTACCGAGGGCTACTGTTTTCGCCATTTTCTCCCAGTTCCTTAGTTTGCTTGAGAAACCCGTTCTGTGAGAGTTTTAGACCCTTCGGCCAGGGGGCCGAAGGCACCCCTGGCGCGTAGTGCGGGCTCCTTGGTACTCTGGGCGCTGTGATTTGGGCCTGTTAGGCCTGTTGGGCCTTCGATGGAGTAGTAGGAGTCCGTGGGCCGGGGGTTCCTGGGCCATATACTCCATCAGGAGTCCCTCACTCCTTTTGCCGAAAGGTATTTGAGGGAAAAGGAGTAATTTGTGCTTGCCTTTTGATGTTGTCCTGTCGTGATATCTGAAGTTGGTGAGGAGTTGTTGCTTTTATGTCCCTGCCGAAGGTAGTCCCTCAGTTACCCACATGTCGGGACTTGAGGGCTTGCTTTGTTGTTTGTTGGAATTTCGCAGATTTTGTAATTTAATGATTTTCCCGAAGGGGTCCTCCAGTCCCCCACTCCTTGAGGCACTTGTAAAGTGGTGAAAAGGAGTAAAGTAGTTATGTTGCTGTTGTTGGCCGAAGGCTGACGTTTTTCGTTTCATTTTGGGGGGATGCCTCGTTAAAAACCTCATTAGGAAAAACCCTTTGGGAAAAAATCCTAATAAGGGAAAAAGAGTGCACCGAATTCCCCCAATGATGAATCGAAAATATCAAACCTTGGTAAAAAATGGAGAATGACGGGAATCCCGAAGGCTCTCTCCTCTGAGGGCTCCTGTGTTGATTAGCCGGAGGCTTGCTGTCGATGTCCTGGTGGCGCCGAAGGGGAGCCCCTCAATCCAGGGATCGAGGGCCTGCCAGATGAGGGCAGCAGTGAAGCTGTTACCGGGGGGTCCACTGTTTGTTGATGAGTTGATGATGAAGATACCTGAGGGCTCACATTACCTGTGTGCCTTGGGCCATCCGTCAACGAGGCACTCCCCGGGGGCTACCCGGTTTTGCAGTGCTGAGGGGGAAACCCCGAGAGGTTCCCTGATATGCAGCCCTAGGGATCTGAAGGAGTGATCCCGAAGGCGTGTGTAATGTGCTGTGTGGGGCACAACCCGGGGGCACTTCTGGGTGAGTGCACCCGGAGGCTGTCCTTGATGAAGTGGAGTGAAGTAGAAAGCCCGGGGGCTTCCAAAATATAGCCGTTGGAAATATAGCCGTTGGAATATGTAACGACGGGATATAGCCGTTGGGGGGGGGGACACGTGGCGTGTGATGGCTGGCTGTCCGTGGGCGGCGCCACCGGTTGGGCGAAGACGCGGTGAGTAATGATGGCGTCCATCCGGAGGCCCGGAACCCAGGCCCAAGCCCGGATTCCAGCGCCTATAAATACCCCAAGGCCGGGCATTCCTCTGTGTGCGAAAAACTTGTTAGCGAAGCTCTGCCAATTTTTCTAGAGAGAGAAACAGCAACCCCCAGTTGAATCCTCTGTTCTTAAGGTCAGTTCTCCAGTTACCCTTCACCTCT